TCAGTATCATCAACATTTCTTTCTTCTTCCATGACCAATTCTCGTAAAATCTCGTCAATAGTATCTTCATAACATTCATTATCACTAAGATTATATTTATCAGTATCCGAATCAGAATCTGACGATGTAATTTTATTTATGCTTCTCCTTCCGGGCAATCCGATCTCTTTTCATTATTGAAAAAAATAAGGGCAGAGATTTTAAGTTATACCATTTGGTACTCGGCAAAGATTCCAACTGTTCATGCAGGAACAGAAGCAGATATGAATTAGCAGCGCTCGCTTCCTATAGCGGCACGGGTGGCCTGTAGGAGATTTTGTTGTAAATACGCGTGGCAGTCAATGTGTTAAGTAAGCGTAGACTGCAAAATCTTTGCACAAAATAAAAAATGGTTTCAACAGAAATCTCTCTCTTTCATTAATCCATTAACTGTGTGTGTGTGTGTGTGTGTGCGCCAAATTTGTTATTTTAATTTTTGACGGGAAAGTTGTGTATATGAACAAAGAGTTGTGTAACAATATAGTTATATTCAAATTATGTTTCGTTGTTAAAATATTTTATATTTTTTAGAAAGTCCCAAATGGGGATTGCGGCAAAGATAAAAATTCTTTTTATTGTCAGAAAAACGAAAGACTGAGCAAGTAACACATTGTTACTATATAACCTCTAAGTTACTTATTTATGTATGGTATTTAATTATAGTACAAAAACCAAACCAAAAATATCATGCTTCAGATAATGATAATTTTGTTGCGTTCAACTCACAGATGATTTCCAAATTTGTTCACTCGTTGAAAAGAAACGGAATACAAAATACACACCGTCTGCTATAAACAATATCGACTGATATGTATATAAAATGACATTAAACTGTCAAACACATCTGATATATTCTTCGCGTCAAGTTGTGTACGTAAAATTTCAAAATCCTCAAATGGGGATTGTGGCAGTTAATGTGTTAACAATTTCAGTAAATTGAAAATAATCCATAGAAATCGTTGAATTTGTTTAGTACTTTCGTTATTTTAAATTTCGCCTATCCATTTTTATGATGAATGCATAAAATCCGCAGTCTAATAATAATTAAGACATCTGTATTCAAAATTTTAATGTGCACGTACGGTGTACAACTTGAAACTCCTTTTCATACATTTAGCAACGTTGAAAAGGTTTCTGGTCGTACGGTGAGTTCGAATAACGCCTCGTAGCCGGTATTAGAGTGTAAAGAGCTAATGAACCGTCGGTGAAACCGCGCTCAAATGGAAACTCGTCTTTTTCAATTAGACCAACCGAGGACTTGCCAAGGACAGCTAATTCCACTCACCGCAGCGTCGACGAATTGTATCGGGAAGCGGAACGATTGGGAAGATCTGGCGGTGACTGCATCTTGGCCTATCCCGATTGCATCGAGTCACCTTTGGAATCATTCACGGAGATCGCATTCCCTTAGGGGATCCGGGATTTAAACGTCTGCCTGCTGCCGATCACGACTTCTTCCTCGAGGGTGGGTCTGTCGTTTATTTGTCCGACGCCTTCGAGATCTACTGAAGTTCTGCTGCACGTGAACTGATATTGCTATGATACGAAATTCATGGTCAAACTGGCACGATCAAACACTGCGAACACACTGTGAAACATTCGTGGAGTATAAGACTGTTCCGAGTTAATAATATTTAAGTATTATTTGATGTAATCGTTATTCTGCAGTTCAAATGGAATTTCGATAAGATATTTTTATTTTCATAAGAATAAAATATTCTTATGATTTTCTTAAATGATAAAAGACATCTTATTAAATAATAGAAGACATTTTTTTATTAAATAGCATAAGAACTCTTAGCGTAATTATTTATTTACAACGAACTACGGCTATAGTGAAAGATCGTGTCGTATACAGTGAGCCACGATCAAATCAATCAAAGGAAACGCAACGGTCTTTCGATTGTAGCTGATGTTGGAAACATTGTACTATATAATAAAAATCATTGTTCGATGCATTTGCATTTTCGAATTCATGAAACATTCCAATTAAAATATTTTCACGAATCAGAAAAAGTGATCTGTTTCTATATCTTGTGTAAATTGAAATAACAAATCTGTAAGAAATTATACTAATAAAGAGAGAGGGATATTGATATATTTTCAGAAATAATATTTGACAGTTAAGATTAAAAACAAAATTATAATTGAAATAAATAAAATACTTCCTATTCTCTAAATATAATATTACTTTAACTGCCATACGACAGGCCGTTTATAACCGCGAGCGGCGGACTCAGGGTCCATGCAGACTCAAGTCTGGATTTCACTACTTAGTATTTGAATATATAGGGTTTCATTGAAGATTAACTTTATATCATTTGAAAATTATTTATTATTATTTATTATTAATTTTTTATTACAATGCATAAAATATTATTCTTTTATTGTACGTGTATTGCATATATATATGTATATCTGGCAGTTTTCGCATTTCTACGTGTAATTATTATCATTACCGTTATGCAAACTGAATCTTCCACGTTCCGATAACAACTGGTATATCTTTGCGCGACACACGACGACTGCTGTCTAGTATGTCAACTGCGATGCTAGCCGCAACTAGATTTCACGGCATACGTGCACATAAACATTGTATGAGTCAGCATGGACCCTGAGTCCGCCAGGCGAGGCTTAAGATTGTCTTACTATTTTTCTAGTTAAAACTTCTGACAAATAAAATATTTTATGATTTAATGTGAAGTAAATTGTTTATATTATTTACCATTGGAAATGATACATTGCTCAGCTCTGTAACAGTGATCGCCAATAGCTCCAAAGTTAATAGGACAGTAATAATTGTTTACATAATTGTAAGAGTAAACAATTATGTAAACAATTATATATATATAATTATAATATAATATATAATAATATATATATAATATAATATATAATATATAATTATATATATATATATATAATATAATATATATATATATATATATATATATATATATATATATATATATATAATTTATATAAAAAAAAATAGATGTTCATATATATATATGAACATCTATTTCCCCATAGACAATCACATGTCAGTGTTTACCGTAACCAGATAAATAAAGGCCGCCGTAGGTGAGTCGTTTTCAATACATCCTGACAAACAATTGTACACTTAAACAATTCGCGAGCGGAAAGATTCATCGATTCCAACAAACAATCTCGAATAGCAATCGAATGCAAAATAAACCGATATTCCCGCAGCAGCGTCATAAATTACTCGTTACCCGGGACGGTGTCAAGCTATAATCGCCGCGGAATTTTTATACACAGTGGAAATTTCTCGGCGCGCTGCCTATCGATCAAAGTTCTCAAACAACAATGGAGTGACAGTGATCGAAACGGCATTTGAAGCGAGCAATCGACGCGCAGCAATTCACGCGGCNGTATATATATATATATATATATATATATATATATATATATATATATATATATATATATATATATATATAATTAATATAAAATAAAATAGATGTTCATATATATATATGAACATCTATTTCCCCATAGACAATCACATGTCAGTGTTTACCGTAACCAGATAAATAAAGGCCGCCGTAGGTGAGTCGTTTTCAATACATCCTGACAAACAATTGTACACTTAAACAATTCGCGAGCGGAAAGATTCATCGATTCCAACAAACAATCTCGAATAGCAATCGAATGCAAAATAAACCGATATTCCCGCAGCAGCGTCATAAATTACTCGTTACCCGGGACGGTGTCAAGCTATAATCGCCGCGGAATTTTTATACACAGTGGAAATTTCTCGGCGCGCTGCCTATCGATCAAAGTTCTCAAACAACAATGGAGTGACAGTGATCGAAACGGCATTTGAAGCGAGCAATCGACGCGCAGCAATTCACGCGGCAAAGAGTAGACGATAACATTTCGTTCGACATCCAATTCGACTGATCGATAAGAGCAGCCGCCTTTTGTGATACCTTTCCAGACCGTGCAACCATAAGTCGGTTCGATTTTAACCAGACGATCGTACCGCCTCGCTTTCCCGCGTCCGCAAAAATCGAACGAGACACGAGAAAAGTCCTAAGTAAATTTCGCTGTCGAGACACACCGTAAAATGGCCGGAAATGCGACATAAGCCCACAGTTCTTTTTTCCAACCGACTGCAATCACCCTCTCTCTCTCCCCCCTCTCTCCTTCTCTCGCTCTCAATCACCCTCTCGATCTCTCTTCGATCTCCAGATCGCGTTCACGTTTTCTCGACTCGCGCGGCCGTTTGTCACGATTTTCAATCGCGTTTACACCCTTCGCTCCCCCCCCCAACCCCACGTTTCCGTTTCGAACAGCTACTTTCCTTTTCTTTCTGTTCGTTCGGCATTCTTCGACTCGCGCTTTTCGCCGGGCTCTTAGGAATAGAATATGTATGCTTTGTGATCGAGGGTCCTCGAAACTTCAATACGGATACTTCTCGAGCGGCGGTCGCGACTCGACGGTGTGGAAGATACAGCAAGTTTTGAATTCTATAGCACCAACTGAAATGGTAGGCAACGTCTTCAACGTTGCCCGATGACGAATCTTCCTTCTTTCTACTCTGTTTACCCGTTCCCCCGATATCTCAGACCGGGAAACGTTTAGAACGGGATTCTTCTTCCGGTAGACGAGGATCGACGTCGCAACTTCTTGGCCTTGCTCGAAATCGTCCACTTTGGTGGCGCGTGTATCTTCCCGACGCGCGACGATTCTCGGCTCCTTATTTTTCCTTCCCTTCTTCCTTCTTGTTTGTACGCGCGAGATTCCGTTCCTTTGTCATCGCGACAGCGACTACGACGCCGATTCCGCGCGACGCGAAGCGCCGGCAAGTTACAACTCGCGATCCCCGCGCGTTCTCGAGACTTCTCCTGTGCAATGCTACTCATTTCGGAGTTGTCGCATCCTCAGTCACCTGGAGAACAGTTAGACGCCTGCTCAGCAACTTCCGGCGCGCTACCACGATCACGGGACGACCGTGATGACAAATGCTCGTCACGAGTGGAGGCCAACGCTTCGACGATAAAAATCGTAGTGTCCTGGACCTGTTTTCTAGTCCTATCGTGTATTTTACCGTGGTATCGTAGTTTTTGTCCACTTCGTGTACCGGCAGTTCTCAACGCGTCCTTTCAGCCCTTCGCGTGAGGTGAATTTTCTCAGATCGTCTACCAAAAACTTGAACGTATTATATTAACTCTTTGGGGCACGGTGGGATTAAAAATGTCCCATCTTTTTGATGCATGGTAATGCATGGTGGGGCATTCTTAGACCCACCTCGAAATATTGCAATAGCTGCATGCGCATTCATGAAACCATGTGGCACGGTGGGAGTCCCACACTATAACAACAAACTGAATTGCATTATTGTTATTTTTACGTTTTTATATTATGTGATTCGTTTGTTAATAAAAATATACCGATCTTGTTGAATTTAAAACGCAATAAAATTTCTGTGCAACGTGCAACATTATTCTCTGAAATCCTGTGCCCCAAAGAGTTAGCACTTGTACGAAATTTGTACAGTGTTGCGAATATGTAAATTTGGATTAAATTGACATAATGTCACATATTTGTGAGAAATAAGTCTAAAGAATATATTCAGTTCGTTCAAGTGTTACGATTTATTATTCGGTTTATGGTTTTAGACTTCCTGAGAAATTATATCGAAGATCGCGTAATATGATAACACTCGTCACGTTTCACGCTTGGTTTGGTGTAGAGGTTGTCAAGAAATGTTTATTTAAAGTTCGATAATCCGAGCAAATCACATGTTGTCACCGAATTCCATTTAGTAGAAATTACATTTTTCATCCGTAAAGTTGAAATATGATACTTCATATAAGGACATTAGTTGGGTATTTTTAAATACTATATTAATCTTGGAATAATCGTAAGTTCGAGTTAATTTTCATAGCGATCGGAGAACAATACATAAAACCGTGGATATTTTACGGGTGATAAGAGTTTTCTAAATCATAATGAATGTAAGAGTAATCTCAAATGCTTCTAATGTATCTTGAATTTGTATAAACTATATAAGACTATTAATAATTTGAATAAATCGAAGAGGATGTAACAATACCCTTAAATACTTCGAACGTTTCTACAATTTAATATTTCACTTATCACTTGCTATCAGAAATGCATAATATCCGTAGTTCAATTAGGAACAATTACTATATTCGCTTCTGAAAATGAAATCTTTCCAAAATAATTTCAGAGTCAACAACCCTGACCGTAAACATTGTCTGTAAACCTACAAGCATAACACACTCCCGTCGCTATGGTTACAAAAATCGCCGCCAGCAGAACCCAAAACGAAGAACACGTTTCTTCACCGCGACAAAAACCGATATTTCCTTTCCTCATTAGCACGCCGAGGGGACCAGAGCCAAGAAAACTGTTTGCTTTATAAATTCGAAAGATCAACGGATAAGACGAACGGTTTGAAACGGTGTCCTCGGTTGAATCCGTTGGAAAATTAGCTCGTTTAGCTCTCCTACAGTCAGCCGCAGAGGCCTCTCGGTGTAACTATGCTGCGAGTTGACGGATGACACGTTAATTTCGCCGAGGAACTGCAAGTTCTACCGACCGGGTTCCTCGACAGACAAGAGGCTGCGAGTTTGCCGACAGCTGCGAGATCCTTTGTGCTCCAAGGAACGAGCCGTAACTGGTTTCTTGATTTCGACTGGGTCATCTTTCGGCTAAAGAGGTAGGCGACATCACGTTCCCAGACATTTAAACCGCATTGCTTTTCGTGTTTGCCTCGCGTCGCCGTAAATGGAGGATAATGAACATGGGACAAACGATATTTATTCAGATGATCGCGAAGTGGACAGCGTTTCTATTGTTCTGCCTCGGAGTGGACAGGATTCGGGGGTATGCAACCGAACAACTTCGTGAGAAGAGGCAACTGTTGTATCCTCCACCACTTGTATACCCTTTCGGCGGCAATTACAAGGTATTTATTCGCATTTCGTTGAATGTTGACGCATTGCCGCTGATCTGTATTGATTGTGTGCTCCTCTAATGACTTCTTTGGTAATACACCATGGTAAGTTGATGTACAGTCGCAACAATGAGCGTGCAGTTCACTTGATCTACAGGGTTTCCCAAAATTATTGCACAAGTGGAAAATGGGGGTTCCTGAGGTTAATTGAAGCAATTTTTTCCTTAGCAAAAATGCAATCCGCGGCTGCGTTTACGAGTTATTAACGAAAAACAGCGACCAATAAGAGGCGAGATCAGTTGGCGCGAGGAGGCCGAGCCAACGAGCGGTCGAAGCCCAATTCCGCTGATTGACGAGCTCGCCTCTCATTGGTCACTGTTTTCCGTTAATAACTCGGAAATAAAGCTGCAGATTGCATTTTCGCTAAGGAAAAAGTTACTTCGAATGACCTGAGGTATCACTCTTTTCCGGGTGGTAACGTAATTATGAAACACCCTGTTGACACCGACAAATTCTCAATTTGTAATTTATTTTATTAGATGTCCTGTTACACTTATGTCTCTTTTTCGGTAGTATTTATGTACACGTATTTCCATAGTTACCCGGTTTTTTATACATAATAAAAGCACGAGTTCGTCGGTGGTATAATAGAAAGCTACGTTAACACACGTTTGTCTATGTGTACGTACGTTGCTGCTAATCACTTTTTAACGACTGTTTTGCCCGATTGTTGTTAACGCGCGAATGAAAAGAGACTCAATTATACCTCTATCGAATAAACACTCGATCCTTATAATTGAACGTGCGAGATATCTCGTCCGTGGTAGCAAAAGGGTTGAAAGGTCAACTAGAAGCGGTCAGGCGAAATTCTTGTGGAACGTCGTCGTCACCGCGGATCAGATAATAAGCAGGCTTCCATAATATAATCCATGTTATTCGAAAAATGCGCGAGGATAACCTTCGTTGGCTGAAGTCAAACGAATTTCGCAGTGCACAGTTAGATCTAATTAGAAGTCGGAGGTATAATTTATCCACATCCTCGCCGCTGCTTTCGCCCTTCATTTTTCCTGGCGTGAGTGCAGCCGAAAGTCCGGGGTTGGTATCCACCTAACCGCGTTCGATGTTCGAAGTAGTTTCGGGGATGAAAAAACGGGGCAAAAACTCGGAAGGAATCGTCGGCCGAGTTGCTAGGCGGCCAAAGGCTGCTGCCTCTTCCGCAATTAACATCTCCGATGTCGGGCTCGTCTGGGAGGAATTAATTAGATGGCCGTTAAACGCGTTACCCGTGGTAGCTTGATCCAGCGGAACGGACATAAAGGGAATCGGTAGCAGGAAACGGTACGCAAACTGAACCGAACTTGAGAGTTCGACGTCGTGACGCCGGGATTTAGAACAGCGACGCGTTTAACCCAGCCCACCACCCTGCCTTCTCCCGCCTTCTCCTATCTTCCCTTACCTTGTCTCGCCTTCTGCCTCACCGGACGGAGAAGTAGCGGAAACTTTAAATAGAGAGAAATGTCTCGACTTGCCATTCTCCGACCCGATCCGCGGCCAATAATTAACTCGAACCTTACCTAAAGTCCCCATCTAAAATTTTCTAATTAAATCGGCCGACTCTTTCTGTAGCTCTCATTCAAACTTGTCGCGGCCGGGAGCAAAATGTCCTGTTTGCTTTGGCTACCATCGTTGGCGCTGGCATTCTCAATTACTCGCGTCTCCCGTTCCAGTTACGCCGGCTTTCTGCGGAATCACGGTCGACGGAAATGTGCAGTTGACGCTTTGACTACTGCCTTTCGCCCCTACCGCGATACAATTATTTATAGTAATAACCTGGGTTTATTAAAGGAGAGTTACATTTTTAAGAGGTTCGCAAGATCCAGCTTTCGCCGTTGGTTAACCGTGTTCCCTACTCTTAAATGAATTAATGCTACTGTTTCGCAACATATAACACACTTCAGGGTGATATTTTACCAGTGATCCGATATCTTAAGCGTGCGCGACATTGGAACTGAAAAAATTTACTTCTCTGACAAATGTACGAATTTGTCAATGTTGCGTCTTCGAATATCGGAGATACGTACGTCGAGCTAATTGAAATGAATTTAAAGACAGAGATACAAAATAACAGTTATTTGAAAAATTTATTGTGTTTATTATTCAAGTTGAAACTATTGATTGATAATTCTTAAAGAAATTGTTAATAATTAATTTACCACATGATTATAAGATTTCAATTTTTTATTACAAATAACAGTTACAGTGATGACGGAAATTTAATTTCGTTCGTTTATTATAATTTAAATACGGAGAAGTTATTCCAGTTATTTACAACAGTTGATGAGGAAAATTCTGTATCGATCACTCGTAATATTTATCAACGACGGAATATTTCGGTCACCAATAATAGTTATCGTTTGGAATAAAATTTCTGTCTCGAATAACAGTTTATTATCAACCGGAATCAATTTTCTCATTAATTACAATTATCTAACGGATTTTATGCATTTATAGCACAAAAGACTAGATCAAATTCAAAACAATAGAAACGTTTAAAAAATTATGAAAAGCTGTTGTATTCATTTTAACTCGTTGAAATAATTGAAAAAGAAATAATAACTATTTATGTAACTCCAGTATCTTGCATAAAAATCCGCAGTATAGTTAAAAACAATCGAAATTGTGTTTCTCTCAACGATATCTGTTATAACCAACGCAAATAAATTTCCATCATCAGTAATGATGGACAACGAAAAGAGAATTTCGGTCACATATAATTATTACTTGCAATTGTAATCATTTGGATAATGAAACACGAAACATAACAAATGTGTTACAGATTCGTGTTCTTGTTCCTGATGTTTTTGTGTATACATATATATGTATACACAGCGATATGTATGTACATATTTACATACATATAGCTGGCTGTAACTTTTAAGCCGCATACTGACTTATCAACATTCTTAATTTCATTTCATTTTTAACCACAATGTGGAACGTTGTCCTATTGTTTCTTCTTCACAAACAAAGGAGTTATGCATTGCAACGATTAAATCTTACCTCACGCATCAGATTAAATTGGCCTTTCCTATAAATTGCAAATTCGTTGCCAATTTACATGTAAACGTTGCGTTCCTACATTCACTGTAGCCAAACTGCATCAATTATTTCTCACCCATATAAAAATGTCGAACTATACAGTTAAGAATCGCCGATACCTTCTTGCGTAACATTTCATATTCTATTGAAATTTTCAACAAGAACGCCTTGAGCATTCGATAGTCTTCACATTCTAATAAATATCTGGGTTACTAAAGAATAAGTTATTACGGGATACGACCTGATCGATACCATTTTACTTCCATTCGAAGTGCCCTTTATTTGCGAATAATCGAATAATTAACAATCTGATTGCCCTTTACTTGGACCTCCGCTTCTGTCGAATAATAGTTTCAAACTACCGTGGAAGAGAGGTTGTGAAAGGCGTGTTCGAGGTTCGACAACGGATACTTTGGCGAGCATAACTGATCGTTAGAATGCGGGAAAGCGTGAAAGAAACGGGCGAAGCGATCGAAGAATCAAGAACCCGACGCCTCCAGGTCAATGCGCAGGCACGAGGCAAGCAGGAGCGTGTCGCAGCAATTTGTCGAGATGCAGGGGGCCATAAAGTCGTGGAACCCTGTCTGATCGACGGTGGGGGGAGGGAGACAGCTGATTGGGGGATTTCCCGCGGCTCTGCGCGACACGGCAAATATTTCGATGCCCGCGTTTAAGGAAAAGGCCGGGACGGGAAATAAAATTCGCCGTTTCTGGGTCAGTGTGTATCTAAACAGACGGAGCTGCACTGCGTCAAAAAGCGCGACATCAAAGCGCGACGAAAAAGAAGTAACACTGGAGGCGGAGGAGGAGGATGAGCGAGCGGAAGGGCGGAGGGCGCCGCAAAGAAGCGCAACGACTTTCAATTACTTCTGTCTCCTCGCGCAAACAAGTACGCGCGCCGAGACTCGGCTCGCTTCAGAAACAATTATATGATCGATCACGTGTCGTTTTTCACTTAAGAACGTGAACCGAGCGACCGGGTTTGAAAATTTCAACTTACGGGAGATCGCGTCTGGTACGCCAGATTTTTAGTCTATGATTTATAGTGCGTCGAGCAATCCTCGGAAAATCGCACGAAATCAAAATTATTTAGTTATTGTATTCAAAGCTGCGGGGTTAAAATATATTGAAGTGATTATTTTTAAATTTTCCTAGATTGTAGGAATTCTACAGAAATTTAAGCAACTATATTGGATAATTAATTTCTAAGCAGAGACGTAGAATTGTGTCACGCGTATACGTGTGATCGACGTTACGTGTTAATACATTTTACAGGCAAAACCATTAGAGACACCATTACAAACATCGTTACTCTTGTAATCAAATATATATTAAACTCAAAAATTGAATGACAAATAATTACTCAAGATTTATGGAGAGTAATTATTTCTAGCGACATTTGTATTTATTTTATGTACAGTATGGGTCGGAATTCGTAGTGGAACCGAGGGGGGTGATTCTACGTGAAAAAGTAAGAAAACAATATGATATAACATCTTTTTAACCGGGGCTCCGTTCTCGAAAAAAATCGACTTTAAAGTTTGTTCGTACTTGTAAATGATTTAGTTGTCTATTCTTCTACCGCAGTTGTCTCCGTCCGAGACAGTGTTTACAAACATTGACGATAAAAACATTCCGTTTTTAATATTGTCTACTTCTTCTCAGAAGAAGTTAGTTGTTTCGGTAGAGGGAAACCCACTTCTATTGGTAAACGAGAAGACCCACAAGCTAATCGACGCGAGGAGCAAGGGGGATCGGTCGCCCGCTCCACCCAATCACGTCTCTTGATGAGCGCATAACTTAGCCAATAATAATCAACAGTGTGAACATTAGAAGAGCCTAGGTGGAGCGGGCGACCGATTCCCCCTGCCTCTTGGCCTTTGCGTCATTTAATTTATGCGTAGTGCTTCATT